TCCACTAGAATTGTGGATTAACCTAAAAGAAAGATATGACCACCAAAAAATAGTAATTTTACATAAAGCTCGATATGAATGGATGCATTAGAGAAGACATTTTCAACTTTTCACGCTTCAAATGTGCTCTTGCAGCAGCAATATTGTGAAAAGGGTTTTAAAAAGTATTTTGAATTAATTTCTTGTGGCTGAACAAAATAATGAACTGCTGATGAAAAATCATGAAATCCATCCTACTAGATCAGCTCCATTCCCTGAAGCGAATGTGACTATATATAGTAATTACCGTGGTCGAGGTCATGGTCGTGGCTATGGCCATAGACATGGTCGTGGCAGGGGACGTGCTAATTACCATTATAATAGTAGTGGTGGTACTAGTTATAATCCTAATGCTCACCAAAAGAAGAAAAATAATGAAGGGCAAAAAAGAGATAAGAGCGGCCCTTCAAAAGTTGTTGAAAATTAGTGTTATTGTTGTGGTATGAAGGGGCATTGGTACGTACTTGTCGTATGCCTGAGCATCTAGCAAAACTTTATCAAGCCTCCATCAAAAGAAATTCAAATAATGTGGAATCAAATTTTACTTTTTAAAATGATGATGTTGAGGCACATTTTGCATACAAAAATAATGATATCAATGAGTTGAATGATATTAATGGCCTTAATGCTATGGCACACTTAGAGGTGACTGATTTCTTTGAAAATCAAGATTAGACAAGTTTGATTGAAAAATATTTAAAATAATTTGGATTATGTTTCTTGTTTTCTTGTAATTTAGGTTATGTTTTATTTAGCTTTTCTTGTTTTCTTGTAATAAAAGCATTATTGCTATGAATAAATTTCATTTTATTAAATACTTATTTTAATACATTCTCTTTCTTTTGTTGAAGAATATGGATATTCCCTTTTCTTTCATTAGACACAAGAATGAAGATATATGTCTTGTAGATAGTGCTACAACGCACACCATACTTAAAGATAAAAAATATTTTACTTGTTTAACAATAAGAGATGGAAGCGTTAATACCATAGCGGGTAATACTAAATTAATTGATAACTCTGAAAGAGTAATTATAATATTACTCGAAGGAACAAAAATTATTATAGATGACGTATTATATTCATCTAAGTCTTAAAAAAATTTATTAAGCTTTAAAGATATCCACCAAAATGGGTATCATATTGAGACTACAAATGAGAAAAATATTGAATATCTATCCATTACAGATTTTAGATCTGAAAAGAAATGTGTCCTAAAGAAATTATCCACGTTATCTTCTAGTTTATACTACACAACTATTAATACAATTGAGATAAATGTAATAGTCAATAAGAAGTTTACCAATCAAGATACAATTGTTGTTTGGCATGACCGGTTAGGCCATCCCAGTTCAACTATGATGTGAAGAATTATTGAAAATTTATATGGACATCCATTGAAGAACCAGAAGATTCTTCAATTTAAGGATTTTTCATGTACTGCTTATTCTTAAGGAAAATTAATTAAAAGACCTTCAATTGCGAAAGTGGGAATTGAATCTCCTACTTTTCTTGACCGTATCCAAGGGGATATATGTGGACTTATCCATCCACCATGTGGACTATTCAGATATTTTATAGTTTTAATATATGCATCTATAAGATGGTCACATATGTGTTTGTTATCAACACGTAATTTAGCATTTGCTAGATTACTTGCCCAAATAATTCGATTAAGAGCGCAGTTTCCAGATCACGCAATTAAGACAATTCCTTTTGATAATACAAGAGAATTTTCATCGCAAATTTTTGATCAATATTATATATCAACTGGAATAACAGTTGAAAAATTTGTTGCTCATGGCCACACTCAAAATGGGTTAGCAGAATCATTCATGAAATGCCTCCAATTAATAGCTAGACCAATGCTCTTAAGAACAAAACTTTCTATTTCCGCATAGGGACATGCGATTTTACATGCAGCAGCACTTGTGCGCATCAGGCCAATAAGTTATCGCAAATTTTCCCCGTTACAATTGCCTTTTAGTCAGGAGCCCAATATTTTTCATCTTAGAATTTTTGGATCTGCGGTGTTTGTTCCTATTACTTCACCATAACGCACAAAGATGGGACCTTAAAAAAGGTTGGGAATATATGTTGGTTTTGAACCTCCTTCTATAATCAAGTATCTAAAATCATTAACTGGAGATTTATTCACGGCACATTTTGACAATTGCCATTTTTATGAAACAATTTTCCCAACATTAGGGGGAGAAAATAAGCAGCTGGAGAAAGAAATTACATAGAATGAATTATCATTATTTCATCTAGATCTTCGTACAAAGCAATGTGAACTTGAAGTTAAAAAAATAATTCATCTACAAAATCTTGCAAATCAATTACCAAATGCATTTACTGACCTTAAAAGAATTACCAAATCTCATATTCTAGCTGAAAATGTTCCTATTAGAATTGATGTCCCAATAGGACAATTAGAAAGTGCAAATGAATTTAAGTCACGTTTGAAACGTGGTAGACCAATTGGTTCTAAAGATAAAATTCTTAGAAAGAAGAAAGGAACATAAAATAAAGATAGCATTGTAGAGGAGGTTGGTACTTTAGAAGAGTACAGAGACATAACTAATCAAAATACCCCAGAAGAGGTCCAGGTACCTGAAGATAATGAAGAGATCTCAATAAGTTATGTCACCATAAGAAAAAGATGGAACCAAAAAATATAGTCGTCAATGACATATTTTCATATAATGTTGCTGTGGAAATAATGAATTAAAATGAGGATTTAGAACTAAAATCGGTTGAAAAATGTAGACATAGAAATGATTGGCCAAAATAAAAAGATGCAATTCAAGCAGAATTAAATTTACTTTCAAAATGTGAAGTTTTTGGACCTATAGTCCGAATACCTAATGGTGTAAAGCCAGTTGGATATATGGGTATTTGTGCAAAAACGAAATGAAAAAAATGAAATCATTAGATATAAAGCACGACTAGTAGCACATGGATTTTCGCAAAAACCTGATATTGATTATAAAGAGACATATTCTCTTGTGGTGGATGCAATCACGTTAAGATATCTAATTAATCTAGCAATACATAGAAAACTTGATATGCACCTAATCGATATTGTTACAGCATATCTATATGGCTCTTTAGATATAGAAATTTACATGAAAATCCCTGAAAGATTCAAATTGCCAAAAGCATGTAAAGATTCTCGAGAAAAATATGCAGTTCGTTTGCATAAATCTCTATATGGATTGAGACAGTCTGGAAGGATGTGGTATAATCATTTTAGTGAATATTTGTTGAATGAAGGTTATAAAAATGATCTAATCTTTCCATGTGTTTTTATAAAGAGAAATGGATCAGAGTTTGTTATAATTGCTGCCTATGTGGATAATTTAAATATAATTAGAACTCCTGAAGAGCTCCAGAAAGCAATTGATTGTTTAAAGAAAGAATTTGAAATGAAAGATCTAAGAAGAACAAAATTTTGCCTCGGTTTACAAATCGAGCACTTAGCAAATGGAATTTCTCTTCATCAATCAACTTACATTGAAAAAATATTGAAGCGATTTTACATGGACAAAGCGCATCTATTAACTATTTTGATAGTTGTAAGATCTCTTGATGAGAAGAAAGATCCTTTTCACCCTCAAAAGGAAGGTGAAGAACTTCTTGGTCCTAAAGTACCATATCTTAGTGCTACAGGTGCACTGATGTATCTTACTAATTCAACAAAATCTAATATTGCATTTGTTGTAAATTTATTAGCAAGATTTAGTTCTTCCCCAACAAAAAGGCATTGGAATGGAGTTAAACACCTATTTTGATATCTATGAAGGACAATTGATATGAGATTATTTTATTCTAATGAATTTAGATCACAACTTATTGGTTTTGCAGATGTAGGATTTCGATTAGATCCACATAAAGGTAGATCACACACTGGATATTTGTTTACTTGTGGAGGTACAACAAAATCTTGGCGTTCAACAAAACAAACTTTAGCTGCTGCCTCATCAAATCATGCTGAAATAATTGCAATTCACGAAACAAGTAGAGAATGTGTGTTTAGCTAAGGTCAGTGATCCATCATATCCAAAAGATGTGTGGTTTATTATTGGAAAAAAAGATTCCAACAATATTATTTGAGGATAACACAGCGTGCATAGCTCAATTGAAAGGAGGATATATCAAAGGAGATAGAACAAAACATATTTCTCCAATTTTTTTTCACTCATGACCTTTGGAAAAGCGGTGATATAGATGTTCAGCAAATTCGCTCATGTGATAATCTTACAGATTTGTTTACTAAGACACTACCAATTTCAACATTTGAGAAGTTAGTGTATAGAATTGGAATGCGCAAACCCAGAGACATAAAGTGATGATGTCATCAAGGGGAATGGAGTGATATTGTTACCAGGGGAGACTATAGGGGAGTAAATATTATGTTATACTCTTTTTCCCTTTCTAAGGTTTTGTCCCACTAGATTTCCCTATAAAAGTTTTTAATGAAGCAACATTAGTGAATATTTAAAATATTGTGTACTCTTTTTCCTTCACTAGATTTTTATTCCATTGAGTTTTTCCTAATAAGGTTTTAATGAGGCACAATGTTTGTTATAAACATCTAAGGGGGAGTATTATAAATATTATGTTATGGATGTTTATAACTCATAACCTTAGGATTCCTTTATCCTTAATGTTTTTATGAATGACATGGAAGGAGTTTTCAGTCTTAATAGTTTATAACCTTCAAATGTTACATTATACACCATTGTAGACCTCATTATATCTTTATAACATTAGGATATGATTGAATGATTGGAGGCCTATAAATAGAGGTCATATCCAAAGCGTATGTACATTAATCCATTATTTTCTCTCCATTTCTTACATTATCTCATCCTTCTCTATTTTTTATATTAACCATATTTTACAATACAACCCATTTTTTCCAGTTTTTAGGATTTGACATTCACTTTCGATGGCAGCATTCCAAGACGGGGCGGGGAGTAGCGGGTTCGGGACATTGGAGTGGGAAGTCCTAGACACGTCGTTTTTGGAAAGCGGACGCGCTGCAACGGGACTATGCAGGGGAGAGTCCGAAGTCCGAGCGCTGGTTTAGCCATTATTTTCTTCGTCCACTCGGCTTTGCTCTTCTCTCCTTCCTCTTTAGACTCGCTTGTCTTGCAGCTCAAAATGAGGTCCCTATATACCACCTGCAGCTTACTGTGACACAAAAACGCCCACCGTCATAACGGCTTCTTGTATAAGCGACTGTGGAAAAGCTGGGGAGAGTGGTAGAGTTGATTGCCATGGGGTTTTCCACCCAGAAGACCACCACCACTACTTTGAGGCCCTTTTGCCCCTCCTCCTTCTGGACTTCGCGCTCTTTTCGCGTCGCGTCATCTTCTTGGCCTTTCATTTCTCCCTCCGAAGCTCACTGTCGCAGGTCCGCTTCTGCTCATCATGTTTACTTTCTCTGCAAGTTTTTACCTCTTAGGTTCATGGGTTACTGTTTTAGACCTGTGCATTTTTTAAATTTGATTCAATAGCCTTACGTTTAGGTTGTGCATAGTGTTTTTGGGGAAACATGACATCGTTAGATTGAACATAATGGTTAATTTTCTTTGTTTCTTTGTTTTGTTTTGTTCTTGTTTTTTTTTTTTTGGTGAATTCACTATATCTATTTGAAACTGCAATTGTAATTGTTATGTAGTTAGTAATGCATTTTCCCAGGTGTTTTCCGAAAAGGTAGTTTGGAGCACATTTTTCGGAGGTAAACGTTGTCGTTTAGTTTGTCGTTGCACGTTTTCGATTTCCGTTCGATAAATCAAAGTTTAAGATAAGGATGAGTGTTTTGGTGAAAACCCATATTAACAGAAAGGAGTTATTTTGGGCTATTTGTTCATATTGTTCAGGGCTCTCTTTATGCAATAGAATTTTTTGTAATGCTTTTGTGGGGGGCTGAATTCTGAAAAGTTAGTTTAGTAGCATATGTAATAAGTCAATAGTGTCATCCTGGGGGCTTTTTTTGGCTAGTATAAAATCTTGTTTGGCTTGAGTTGAATGTTAACGTCTTGCTTCCTCTTCTATGGGCTAAATTGTTATTCAAATTCATTATTGTCTAAGTGATTGCTACCTTTATTTTCTTTGCATGATATGAACAGCAGAAGAAAAATCCTCTCCATTCAGGTAGCCAACAATGGCCTCCAAAATAGCACCGTGCCTTGTAATTCTCTTCAATTTAGAGAAGGTTCTTTACAATTTCTATCAAGAATTGTTATCGGGATCAACAAGTACAATGACATGGAATATAACTGTAATCTATACAAGACTCCAGTTCATGTTTCATTCATGAAATTTTCAACTGCATCAACTGGTATGTTGGAGGAAGTGACAGATGCAGAAGCGCTGAATTCTTCACGTTATTCTGAAGCAAAGGTTCAGACAGTAAGTATTTTTGCTCGTGACTGTGGAACATCCAGTGTCACCACTAAAGGTGAACTGTTTGGTGATAGAAGAGGATGGATGCGAGCTAGAGATAATTTGACTGTAACTAAAATGCAAAATAAGTTTGAGTGCAATAATTGCAGCGCTCATGCATCTAAAATATGCATTTCCAATGCCCAGGAGCAAGTTCTTTCTAAGGATGGAGGTCCTGGTCCTCGCTTACTGCAGGACCATGATCTGCCTATCTCATCCCCTGTAGTTAGTCATTCTAAATCAAAAAATACAAAAGTGCTGATGGAATCTAAATGGGTGGGGAGCCAGTCAATTGAACCCCATTTGGAAATCAGTAAAGATGAAACTTCTGACATAAATGAGAATCACAATTCAGAGGCATCTACAAAGTATGCTGACATTGCATCATTGTCCAGAAAAAAATATGTTACTGGTGACTTGAAACTTCGGGTCAGGCTCTGTAGCATCTTTAAAGATATCCTGGTTGTTGATAGTATTTCTCTTGCTAAGGAAGTAGTTGGAATGCTTACAAATAAGTACAGGCATCTTATACATGCATGTGATACTGAGGTATGAAGTCTTTCTAAGCATGCTAACTTACGATTTGGTTTTCAATTGTACAACGTTTTCTATATCATTGTTATTTATTTTCTTTTACTTTGGGCATGAATTCAACCCGTGACCTTGTCAGCTTGTGTATGATTTGATTTTTTTCTATTTCTGTGCTTTTTATTAACATTATGGACTTATGGTCAAATAATAGGCCTTAGTGCCTCTTGCCATTGCTAAGTATGTTCCACTGTGTTGAAAGACTGTTTCTATTTTGCAAATGGTGGATATATGATATGTGCTGGTGAAAATAACTTTAAAGGTGGCCAAGATTGATGTCAAAGAGGAAACACCTATTGATCATGGGGAAATAGTATGCTTCAGTATTTATTCTGGTCCAGAAGCTGATTTTGGAGATGGGAAATCCTGTATCTGGGTGGATGTTCTTGATGGTGGAGGCAAACAGATGTTATTCGAATTTGAACCATTTTTCAAGGACCAATCCATCAAAAAGGTGAACTTTCCTTCTTACCATCTATCCCATTTTTGTATGTTCTTGTTAAATGTTACTATCAAAAATGCATGTATGAAATTTATGGTAAACATTCTAGGCTGCAGGGAGGATATTAAAAGAGAATATGCCTGGACAAAGATGGTGCCCTTTTCACCCACTTGAGCTTGTCCTTGTTATTTTCAAATGATCCAACTTTGACAAAGCCTGACATCATCTTATTTAAGTGTTGATAGACCATTACTAGTCTTCAAGATTTATTATTAATCCATTAAATAACCATTAAGGCCTTTTTCTTGGGAAAAAAAATACAAATCAAATACTCCTGTAACTTTCCATACCAAGCAATGTGATGCATCTGCATTTTTGGTAACCCTTAGCTCTAATTCCGCATTATTTTTCATGGAACTGATGATGGACTAATATCTGGCCTGGATGATCATCTTCAGTTTTGCACTGTTGACTTGGTTAATTGACTGTTTAGTCTAATTCTGAATCCTGTTCCTCCTGCATTCTATGCTTTATTTGAAAACATACATATGGGTGATTGATTATAAATTTACATAATCTCCTGCTTCACCTTGGCCTTTCCAACCCCAGGATGATCAATGGTTTCTTATTCATTCATTGATGTCTGAAATTTGAATCTTGGATGTCTTTTTTGGTGCATTTTTCATTTCCAAATGTGATAACTATTGATACTAGGTAATGGCGAATTCTCTCTTTGGGTCATGTGGGTTAGGTTTGATATTAGGAGGGAGGTGGAGATGCTTGTATTGTAATACTATATGCTCACATGAGAATAGAGTTAGAATACTCTAGAGAGGAGAGAAAACCTGGGCCTCTGTTTGCAATTGCTCATCTCTTCCTATGTTTCAATCAATTAACTAATTGTTGAAGGAATTGACTTTTTTCTTATTGTGTAGTGTTGATTGTGATAGGTTATGATTCTAAATATGATGGCCTATAATTGGGAAGATTGGGTCGACTTGATTATATAATTTATATATATATTTTGTAAATATTTTGTATTAGTTAGTTATTTCAGCCTTGTACCTTCATCATAAATAAAGTACCACACAAGTCAGGACTTTTGCCCACTTACACTTGATTTCTTACACTTTTTTATGGTATCAGAGCATAGTTCTTCACTTCCCTTTTGGCACATGCCCCACCATCACATTACAGATGCCGACAAATCACCAGCAAGTAATGGGAGCTCCAAAATATCCTCCATGTGCCCGTGTGTTCCCAACAGATTTTACACATCCTCCCTCATGTTGTTATGTTTGGCACTCCACACATTCTGGCTTCTATTTGCCAAGAACTAGATGTAAGCCTCTGATACACCAAACTCAGCCCCTCTGTGTGGTTGGCCCCTATTTGGTGATTTTCCTAGATGCTTTCCTTGTTGTTCAAGGTTTTTGTGGTCATTATCATTCCCTTCAGCCCCCAAATTAGGTACTTTAGTTGTCTATTTTTTTTTTGGGAGATCCCATAATTACCTCTAGAATCTCAAATTATGCTACGTAGACTGCTTCTGTTGAGCTTGGTTCCTTGGCCAAGGTTGTGAGAACCATTTGATGACACAAGTTGATGTCTCAATTTCTGAATGTCCGACCTGGAAGAAAATGTGTACTAGATATTCGAGAAGAATTTTGTCTGTTAGATTATCAATGGGTTGGCGCTCATTGATGCTAATATAAAACTTATTCCGGGACCAGGGCCTATGAGAAATCTTAGTAGATTGCAACAGCGGTTTGGGAAGTTAAATTATCTCACAATCTCTTGACCAATTATCTCTTTGATGTCAGTGTAGTGTTTCAATTCCTACGATTACCACACACTAAGCATTAAGATGTAGGGGTGCTTATCCTTTGGTATATTCAAGGGACTGGGCACTTGACAAAGGCTTACTATGTGAGGATTACAAACACACAAGTAGTTGGATATGTGATGTAGAACACAAACCCACTGATGCAAACAGAGGAACATATGAAGGGGAGATGCAGAACAGAGAGATGGAAGGTGATAGGAACAGGAGGGGGGCATGAAGAAAATGAAGGAGGGGAAAGAGAGTGAGAGAGGTCGCAGAATAACTATAAGCAGATATCAAAATATCAGTCTCCAAAAGCCTCTTAAGTTGCATAAGGGCTATTTGTAGAAGCCCGTGACCTACCTTCTCTTCACTTGGAAGGAATCTCAAATTTTAAAATGAAATAAAACATAAAAGTAAAATAGGTTTTCCCAAAATTCCATTAAAAAATTAAAAACCGAAGTAAACCTATTTCCTTTTATGGTAGGTTTTCCAAAATTTCCCATCATTATGCCAATGCAAGTTGGATAAGATCTTTGATAGGTCAACAATTTAATACTAATTAATGCACCTTTTTTTGGAAGCAACCTTGTCTCTTGGAAAATTAGAGGCAAGCTTTTGTGGCTATATTTAATTTTGAAGTTGAAGACCATGTCATGGCATTGGCAACATGTGAACTTGTGTGGATTAAGCAATTATTCTAAAAACTTCAATTTGGAAATCTTGACAAAGTGACTAATTGTGATAATCGAGTTGTTCTACACATTGCCTTGAATACTGTCTTCCTTGAGAGGACCAAATGTATTGAAATTCATTGGTTTTCTAGAGAAAATCCTATATGGGACCATCACCATAGCCACATCGACTTCAATGATCAACTAGTCAATAATATCACAAAATCATTAATAGAACCCTGTATTTCTTACATTTAAAACAAGCTTGGCTGATTCAACCTATAATTTCTTGGTTGAGGGTGAGTGTTGATTGTGACTGATCATGATTGTAAATATAATTGCCTATAATGTTGGAGTTTAGGTTGAATTGATTTTATAAAAAGGGGGGATATTATTCTGTAATTATTTTGTATTTTTGAGTCATTATAGTCTTGTCTTGTACCCTCCCTATAAATGAGAAGTTCCAGGTAGGTTGGAACTTGCTAAATCTCACATTCTCTCTCTCTGTGATGCATTGAAAGTAGGAATAGTAAGGGTAATTAGGGTTAGGGATATTAGGGATAAAAGGGTAGTTTGGGAATATGCTAAATATCTCTATAAATAAGGTCCTAAGGATGTAATAGAGGTCTTGTGAATCATGTTATTGTTTCTTTAGTCTCTGTTCTCCTTTACCTCTATCTGGTATGTATTACTCTCACTCTTTGTAAAGTTAAATATATGTTAGCAATGCTATTTCATCAAGGACACAAAAATAACTCCAGAGCAAATGGTGGTGTTATATTCCTAGTCTTCTATGCGAGTTGGAAAATTAATTTGAAATAACAAAGTCACTTGTATCTTCTCCAGGTCTGGCATAACTATAGCTTTGATAATCATGTTATAGAGAACTATGGGCTTAAAGTTTCTGGTTTTCATGCTGATACAATGCACATGGCACGATTGTGGAATTCATCAAGACGCTTGGATGGGGGTTATTCTCTTGAAGCACTTACGAGTGATAAAAGAGTTATGTGTGGGACTCATTTGAACCATGAAAACGATTTGATTGGTAAAGTGTCAATGAAAGCTATATTTGGGCGGAAAAAGGTGAAAAAAGATGGATCTGTGGGTAAAATGATAACCATTCCTCCTGTTGAAGAGCTACAAAGGGATGAGCGAATACCTTGGATATGTTATTCTGCCTTAGATGCTAGGAGCACTCTAAAGCTTTATGAAAGCCTTAAGAGCCATCTCTCAAAAATGCTGTGGAAAGTTGATGGAGTGCAAATGATGGGACTGGCTTCTGAAAAATCCATGCATGATTCTGAAAAATCCATGTATGATTTCTATGAAGAATATTGGCGGCCATTTGGTGAACTTCTAGTCCAAATGGAATCTGAAGGGATGTTAGTTGACCGTGTGTATCTTGCTGAGATAGAGAAAGTGGCCAAAGCAGAGCAAGAGGTAGCTGTTAATAGGTTCCGGAAATGGGCATCTAGGTATTGTCCTGATGCAAAGTATATGAATGTGGGAAGCGATGCTCAGTTGCGCCAGCTGCTATTTGGTGGCATGGTGAACAGGTGCACGTCAATTTATCCTTATCTGGGCCTTTTGATTCTAGCTTAAATAAATGGAGGATTTGTAAGTTGAAGACTTTAATTATTTACATACAAACTTTATTCAATATACAGAAGACATGTTTCTGTTATGATATTATTGTCATAAAATATGGAGTACACTATGTATTGAACAAGCGAATTAGGTGAATGTATTACCTGTATTATGTCATTAGTATTAAGTGCATGCAAATATCTAAGTTAATTGAAGTGTTATAGCAATTAGGCATTTTTTTATTTGAATAGTAATCATTGTTTTAATTTTAATTTGGATTTTCAAATTCAAGTGTAGAATATATTTCTTCACTCCGATCACTTTATAACTTAAAAAGTAACCAGACACCAAATCTCTATAAGCTGTATTGAGTTTAGACTTGGTCATCTGAGATGGAACTCATTGCATCATATTCTTTTAATAGGCTCGACATTATTCTGACTCCCGAACATTTTCATTGCACAACACTGAATTCTTTTTAATTAGTTTGCAGGGTCATAAAATTAGTAGGAATTCATTTCTAAAGTACATATTGCTATTTTCAATGTTAATCATAGTGCAATTCAGCTGGATTAATTTAAGGCTTGATGTATTCCAAAATCCAAGCACAAGCTGCTGTAGGTTCAGATTTCGGGCTAATCACAACAAACAACATGGGTCATGTGGTTATGGATTTTGACCTTTTAATATATATACATTGTTGTGCATGAGATCATGGGTTAAAAAAAAAAAAAGGAAGAAGTGCTTCTCTTTTTAATTTGTGATTGAACTTGCTATTCTCTGCTATTCACAAAAAATGTAGTTCAGCTACAGTGATGAATGTGAGGCTTTCATTTTCATTTTCTGCATTCTTATTCCAGTAAAGACCATAGTGTGGCACTTCCAATTGAGCGAACTTTCAAAGTTCCCAATGCTGATAACATTATCAAAGAAGGCCAGAGGGCACGCTCAAAATTTCGTGATATTAAGTTGCATAGTATTGGTTGTCAGCTGCAAACTGAGATGTACACAGAAACTGGTTGGCCGTCTGTCAGTGGTGGTGCTTTAAAGGCTCTTGCTGGAAATGTTTCTGCTGAATATGACTTTATAGATGAGGCCTGTAACGTGGATTGTGATGATGAATATGAAAATTCTTCTCAGAATGAAGTTATCCATGTAGAAAAAGACAATAAAGCTTATGGAACAGCTTTTTCTGCCTTTTCAACAGTGCATGAAGGGAGAGAAGCTTGCCATGCAATTGCTGCTTTATGTGAAGTCTGTTCAATTGACTCTTTGATATCTAACTTCATCCTTCCCTTGCAGGTAATTTATTCTATTTGTATTTTTGTTGGATTTCTGCCTCCCTTTTGTTTATGCTAAGCATGTCATTGTTGTGTTCCACCGATAATCTTTGACTACTTTGCCTGTGGCGTATTATTGATGAAGTTTTGGTCACTGCATTGTAAAGAGTCAAGATTATTTGAGCATGCGTGACAGGCAGGGGAGGGTGGCTGGGCATCTGTTAACTCATCTGCAAATGCATTTTTTTTTTATTTTATTCTAGGATTGTCAAATTTTTCTTAGTTTTGTTGGTTTTGGTTCTTTGGCAGGGTAGTAATGTTTCAGGAAGGAATGGGCGCATTCATTGTTCCTTAAATATCAACACAGAGACAGGACGCTTGTCAGCTAGAAGACCTAATCTACAGGTTCTTTTAAATTAAAAGACATGATTGAAGTCATCTTCGTGATTATGATTAGGTTACTTTTGAATGTTAAATGTTGGTTTACTTGAAAAAGCTCAAGTGTGAAGTATAAACTCTAACATTGTCCTTCATTTTTTTCCCCATCTATTTTCTCTTCTTTGCTTATCTTTATTTAAATAAAAGCATATCCAAACTTTAGTCTGTTATTACTCTCTGATGAGGAAATTTACGCGTTTGCGATTTTCCTTTGCTAAAGTGAATAAACTTTTCAGTTCTTTTCAAATTTGTTCATTCTGTATATTTATGGTAGCCTTCTTATAAATAACATGGGATCCTGCTGAACATACAGGGGTGTGGTTGAAAATACTATTTTGCTTGTTAAGCGTTTGAAGTTTCCATCAGAAGCATTTTCTCTCTTTCTGGACTTCGGATGTCTACCTGATCTTTCATTCCATTAGCTATTAACTTGATAGTGTCGATTTATACAGTTAGATATTGTCATGAATTTTTGTCTTGGGGTTTCCCTTTAGACTTTCACATGTAGGTATTACATTGACTAGATTAACAATTGTTTTTCAAGAACTTTAGAGCTCATCTAATACATGCATCCTTCAATAAAATAGAATCAACCTGCTTTGGAAAAGGACCGGTACAAGATCCGTCAAGCTTTTATAGCTGCACCTGGTAATTCTCTTATAGTTGCTGATTATGGACAGGTTAGCAGTTTATGTTATTGATCTATTTGCGTTGATTGCAATAAACTTTGTTCTGTTGATTGAGATGTTTATTATGTTACAGCTCGAGCTTAGGATTCTTGCACACCTTGCCAGCTGTAAGAGTATGCTGGATGCCTTTAAAGCTGGCGGCGATTTCCATTCAAGGACTGCAATGAATATGTATCCTCATATACGAGAAGCAATTGAAAAAGAGCAAGTGATTCTGGAGTGGCATCCTCAGCCTGGTGAAGATAAACCCCCAGTTCCTCTACTAAAGGTACTAGTACTTATCTGCTGATTAATACAGGACACTAGCAATGTGCATTGATGGTAGCACCATCTGCATTGAGATATGCAAGTAATGTCACTCAGTGGTGTGTTTGGTAATTGATTTGAACGGATTAGGTTAAAAACCCACCTTTGTTTTGGCAGTTAGTAAAGGAGGACTGCTCAGCTTCTTCTTTAGATTGACGATAGTTTCCTCAATTATTAGAACAGTCAAACTCTTGAATGGTGGGACACTTTTCTTGTCATTTATTTATTTTTTCTTGCAAATAATTATTTTGAGAGAATTAGAGAAGTAATGACATGATATGTAACCCTCTATTAACCTGAAAATCAAACCCTTGAAGATAGAGATGAGAAAATACATCCGTGCTAGTGAATAGAAGTTGTGGAATTTGAGAGAAAATAATATTTCTCATTAATTTGAATATTGAGTACAAGCTAACTATACATACACAAGGGGAAAATAATTACTAATAATGTCTAATAAAACCTAATAAAGGCTATACAATATTTACAATAAATACGAAATATTCTCACATTTCCTCTCAAGTTGGATCATAGATGCTAATCATGTAACTTGCTTATACAATTCTCAAATGCCAGGCTCTAGTCAAAACATCAGTTGCTTGCAACTTTATAGGCAAATATGTCAAACATATAATTCCTTCTTCCACATTTTCTTTGATGAAGTGTTTGGTCTATCTCCACATGTTTTGACCTATCATGTTGTACTGGCTTTAAAGTCATGCTTATGGTAGCTTTATTCACTTGAGAGCTTTAATGGTGAACTTGCTTCAACCTATATTTCATTCAAGACTCATACCAGCCATAATTCCTCTGTTATTCCTTAAGCTAAAGCTCTCAACTTAGATTTAGTACTGCTTCTTGAAACAACTCTTTACTTCTAGCTTCTCCATGTGACTAGATTACCGCACACAAATGAACAATAGCCAGAGGTTGACCTTTGATCCCTATAAGTTCCACCCCAATTTGCATTGGTGTAAACTTCTATATATCTTTGCTCATGTTTTCTAAAGAATAGCTTTTTACTAGGAGTATTTTTTAGATATTTCAAAATCCTGTAAACTGCTTTCATATGACTCTTCATTTGGCAGCTCATATATTGATTGGCTATCTTGACAGTGAATGCTATATCTGGTATTGTATGGGAAACATATTAGTTTTCCAACAAGTTTATGATATCTTTTCTTGTTAGTAGCTTCTTCCTTTTCTTCTTCATACTCCTCATCTGAGTTTTCTTCCTCCTTGAAGTCTTCATCTTTTCCATTCTTGTCCTTAGGTTTCCTCTTCGGTTTCTTGACCTCAATAGGAGTTTCAATAGCTCTACAACCCAACATTCTTGTCTCAGTAAGAAGATCAAGTGTATATTTTCTTTGAGAAACATAGATTCCTCTCCTTGACCTGGCAACTTCTATCCCAATAAAGTATTTTAACTTCCTGAGATCTTTGACTTCAAATTCCTTACCAAGGGTAGCCTTTACTCTTTCTATCTCAAGGTGATCTCTAGTGAGTATTATGTCATCAACATAGATGATAAGGATATATTTCTTGCTTCTCTCGACCTTAACAAACATTGTATGATCTAACAGGACTTACTTGTAACTGTCAGACGTTTGGACTCTTGAGAATCTGTCAAACCAAGCTCTTGGTGATTGCTTCAAGCCATATATAGGCTTTCTTAATTTACAAACTTGATTTTTCCTGCCTTTATCAAACCTAGGAGGTAGAGTCATATAGACTTTTTCTTTCAACTCCATTCAGAAAAGTATTTTTGGTGTCAAATTGGTGAAGAGGCCACTCAAGATTAGCTGTTACAGACAATAAGACTTTTTTTTTCGATTTCTTTTTTCGAGTGTAAACTGAAAGTTCTCCCTTTTGTGGTCGTTTTGCATCTCCTCTTGTTTTCCTGTGTTCCTTAGATTGTGGCATGAGAGGAGATGGTGCTGGAAGGGATGTTGGAAAGGTAGATGAAGGTAATGGCTCAAGTTCAGTTGGTACAAACCATGGCTCAAGAAGCATTAGTTCTTTGTTAGATTCTTGTTCCCAAGTCTGAAATTCACTTGTGCTCTCACCTTGAATTGAAGAATTGGGATAGAATGGAGTAGCTTCATGAAAAGTGACATCAAGGATGACAAATGTGTGTTTTGTGACAAGGTCAAAGCATTTGTATCCTTTTTGAGTAGAAGAATAGTTAAGGAATATGCATTTGATGGCTTGAGGTTCAAGTCTGGTGCTTTGGTGGTTATGGACAAATGCCGTGTAGCCAAACACATGAAGTGGAAGATTGGTTTCAATATGGGATGTGGAGAAAATAATTTGCAATTTGTGGAGAGGAGTTTTAAAGGATAAGATTTCATTGGGCATACAATTGATGAGGTAGGTCGCAGTTAAAATGGCATCCGCCTAATAAAATTTAGGCACACTATAAGTAAATATGAGTGCTCTAGCAACATCAAGTGTATGACAATTTTTTCTTTTTGCAACCCCATTTTATTAGAGTGTATAGTTACAAGAATTAGTATGGACAATACCATGCATGTGGAGAAAAGTATTCAAAGATTGGTTAAAGTATTCAGTGCCATTGTTTGTGTGTAAGGCTTGGATGGTGGTATTATTAAACTAGGTTTTGATGATGTTGAAGAAAGTCATGAATGTGGATGTAGCCTCAGACTTGTTTCGTAAAAGATAAATCCAACTGACATGAGTGTGGTCATCAGTGAAGGAAATGAACCATGTGGCTTTAGTACGATTAGATGTATGGGATGGTTCCCATAGGTCACTATGAATGGTTATGAAAGGTTTGTTAGGTATGTATATGGCTCTAGGAAAGGATATTCCATGGTGTTTGGCCAATTCACACACCTAACAATGAAAGTCATTAATATTTAGATTTGGACATAGAGTTGGGAACAATCGTTGAAGGTAATGAAAATTAGGATGAATCACCTCTTATGCCATAATAGAAAATCATTAACTTTAGAAATAAATGCAAAGTTACCAACAATTGGGGAGTTACCTACTTGAGTAATGGCTTTGAAATAGTAGAGCCCCTTATACTCCTTAGCACTTACCATTGTCGCTTCAGATGATAGATTCTGAATCACAATGGGAAGGGAGGAATTTAGCATAACAATTTGATTGGGTAGTCAATTGACTGATTGAAAGTAAGTTGCAATCAAGTTTAAGCACATGAAGGATAGATGCCAATGCTATAGAATCAAAAATTTGAGTACTCCCGTTTCCTGCTATAAGTACTAAGGAGCCATTTACAATCTTGACTTTAACATTTTCAGTACATGGGGTATAAGTGGTAAATAACTCATGATACCAAGTCATATGGTTAGAGGCTCCCGAAGCAACAATCCAGACTAAGGTATTGCGAGATGTCTTTAAGGCCTGAAGAAATGTTTCTCTTTTGGCAATTGTTGCTTTAGGCCCATATTTTGCCATTGACACTATGGTCCAATATATGGTCACTTTCATTAGAATATTTAGGAGAGTCCAAATAACCACTCCTATGGCTTCCCATGAGACAAAAACCATATAGTAGGAAAGAATTAGTACTCACATCCCAAGAGCACTCCAGAATCCTTCAAATAGATCTCCGAACACATTGTAGGGACAAACAAATGTTGAGGAAAGAGTTATCAGTCGTGGATGAGGCCTAGATCTCACCGAAAGAGGGTCTGCATTGCAGAAAAGGTGAGTCATGGCTAGAACATAGGTGGCATGCGCTCCCACGCACCACTAGGTGAGCACTGACGTCAACCTTTGGGCCGGTGATCGCCATGTCCTTTAGGGGTTGCGCTGATCAGATTTGTCTGAACACACTTAGGGGGCGATGAGAGCCACAACGGTCTTGAATAGCACTTGCATCATAGTTCACAGCCTTAGGGTGCTGTACAAAACGCCTTACACGATCCATAACCCAGAAAACCCTAATAACGATTTCGGATCATTTGCTTTGATACCACATGGAATTTGAGAGAAAATAATATTTCTCATTAATTTGAATACTGAATACATGCAGACTATATATACACAAGGGGGAAATAATTACTATTAATGTTTAATAAAACCTAATCAAGATTATACAATATTTACAGTAAATACCAAATATTCCCACAAAAATTTTGTAAATAATTATTTTATGAAGCATGGGTGAATAGAGCAACATATGATTTAATGAGTATAATCCAAAATATGGATCTATAACTATGCATTTTAGATGTCATGAGAAGAACATAGCAGAAAGTCCCTCTTGGAAAATTTTGGTGCCAGTGGTTTGGTGATTGGAAAGTGAAGACTTTATTGTTGAAGAAAGAAGGAAGCTCTATGAAAAGAACTAAGAAGAAAAATTGTATGTGTTATACTCCTAATGTAAAACCATTGGCCACGACTATTTAAGGGCCTAGAAGCAAGAAAGAGAAAATCAACCTCTTGACACTTGAGCAGAGACTAGAGGAGATGGGAAGGTTATGCACTCATGGATATTTTTGGGGAGAAAACTTAAAATGAAAAATAATTGGGGGACAAATAGTAAATTCCACACTCTCGATTTAATTGAGGAATATATCACTCATGCCTAGTTTGGATATGTTAACATCAAAACCTCAAAGGTGTATAAACAACCTTAGATATCCCTTTCGCAATCTTTTCCTTGATAAATTTGTGATCAATCTCTACATTCTTGGTTTGATCTTGATTGACGAAATTTTTTGCCATGTTGACTGTAGCTTAGATGTCACATAGTAAAGTCATTTAAGTTATTCAGATAGCCTTTTCAACTATCTGCTTTCACAAATTCCATGAGTCATGTCATGAAATTCAACTTTGCTACTACTTGTTGCTGCTATTTGTTGCTTTTTCCTTTTCCCAAGTAACAAAATAGATGTAGTAGTTGGAAGTTGATCTCCTATTAGTAAGTAACAACCTAGTCTATCCATGTGAGATTTTGATAGGGTTTAA